CCTCCTCGTGGTGAGACCTGGTAATTGATATCGTTTTACAAACATTACAGCTTGTAAAACGTTATCTAGCTAAATTATAAAACGATGTAAAGCTAAATTTTACAGTTTGTAAAACGATATCAAGCTAAGAACTACGCAACCTACAGTTCAGTTTAGATCTAAACTGAACTGTAGGAACAATTAGTTCATAAGTAAAATATTAGACCCCCCAGTGGGGCATCGTGGGACAACGGGGGATCTCGCGGATCTCGCAGGGACATCGTGGGATGCGTGCGCCTTAGCTTTAAGTTGCCAAAAATATATTAGACTTCGAAATTTTAAAACGGCAAGAAAAATTTTGCAAGAAATAATTTATAACACGATGTGCTTCTTTATTGTAAACAATATTTGTAGAAACATTTTATTGATAAGTTCAAACTTTCCAAAAATCGAGTTTACGGGACAAAGATAATTCATTCGGGTTGTGAATTTACACATTTGTAAATAAAAAGATTTCGTATCTGACTATGTTATTCATAAAAATATCAGATTTCAATCAATCTTTTCTAATACTTTTGAGTAAATGTTAATAGTCAAATATGCACTAAACTTTTCATTTCAATTTCTATTAGTCGCTATTTTTTTAGTTTTAAATTCGTTGTTTACATTCCTTCATCGGTGAGGTACTATTCAATTCAATAAATAATTCTCGAAACTGATCTGGCAACACTGTTCATATTTTTTTAATTTTAATTTTCGCTACTAGTTGTGCTGCGGTCGTAAAATCGGTAAAACAGGATGTGACACGAAAATGATAAAGTCCTTGGACTTTATTATAATGGCCAAAAAGATACAATGTAATGTCTATTCATATACCTCGTCTGTGGCTAAAGATATACAATTGACAACACTGTAACGGATATCATTTTCTTGAACCAATTTATATCATTTTGTTTGACGTAGTTCTCTAATTCACCGTTGTTCAAGCGAGTTTTTAGAAGTTACTAAAACTAGTGATTTTTTTCCTGGTTGGTATTTCAGATTCTGAGAACACGAAATCCCATTTGATATCCAATCTGTGCTTAGTCAATGCTATCATTAAATTAAATCATTTGATTATAATGAAATAATAATTATAAATACAACTAATAAATACTGAAATGAATACATTTCCAAAGTATGGCCTTTATTACAAAATACGAAGAACATGCCATCGACTTGCACATACCGAAACGAAATTGCAAAAACAAGCAAAGTGGTTGAAACCTGCTGGATATGAAACGAATATTCAGATCTATAATCCTATAACAAAATGCAAAGTGCCGTTAATTTCAAAAAATAAAGATGTTTTAACCTGGTACGTTTGCGGTCCTACCGTGTATGATTCGGCACATATAGGACACGCAATGTAAGTTTCATTGCTAATTGCAATATTTCAAATATTATTAAAGTCTTATCATGCCGTTTTGAAATTATTTTATAAAGTAAAAATAAATTCCTTTGCCGAACACTTTTCGTTTGATAGTTAAAATCACACTATCAACATAAACAAAGTTTAAAAATAGTATCTCAATAATTTATTAAGAATTAAAAATTAAATTCTCATTTGTAGGACATACATGCATTCCGATATCATCAGAAGAATATTGTCAGACTACTTCAATATAAATGTTGTAATGGCTATGTGTATAACAGATATAGATGATAAAATAATAGCACGTTCCAATAATGTGAAGCAAAATTATACAGATCTAACGAGACACTATGAAAATGAATTTATCGAAGACATGAAGATGTTGAATATTACAGAGCCTCATTTGTATTGCAGGGTTACTAATTACATGCCAGAAATTATTCAGTTTGTAAAAGGCATTGTAGACAAAGGCAATGCCTATGTTCTAAAAGATGGTGAAATTTAAAATGTAACAGTTTAGCTATTATTTCTGTTGCAAATTTTGACTATTATAAATGATAATTCTTCTTTCTGTAGGATCTGTTTATTTTGATACTTCTAAATATGAAGCATATGGCAAGTTATCAACTCCAGTATCAGATAGTTCCCATGCTTATAAAAAATCTGCGTTAGACTTTTGCTTGTGGAAAGCAGCAAAGGAAAATGAGCCATTTTGGGAGTCTCCGTGGGCTCCTGGAAGGCCAGGATGGCATATAGAATGTAGCACTATTGCAAGGTAAAGTGTTACATTTTAGAATTTTTATTCTACATATTATATCATAATCTGTAACAAAACTATAGAAGTCTATATTTCAATTAGCACAATTTTTGGAAATTCTGTGGATGTACATAGTGGCGGATTAGATCTTATTTTTCCACATCATGAGAATGAGGAAGCACAATCGTGTTGTTATCATGAGGTAGAGCAGTGGGTCAATTATTGGATACATTGTGGATATTTATCTTTGCAAGACGTAAAAATGTCAAAAAGTCTGAAAAATACAATCAGTATAAAAGAATTTCTTGAAAAATATACAGCAAATCAGTTTAGAATTCTTTGTTTGCTTTCTAATTATAAAAATGGTATATATTTAGGTGGAATTTATTTATGTATATGAAATATTAAATAAGTTTAACCATGCTTTTATTCACTTTGTAGAACTTCAATTTTCCGATGACGTAATGAACAATGCAGTAGATGTATTACATAAAATTGAAAATTTTATTAACGACTGTCATAATTATATTATTGGAAATTGGAGTACTGGTAAAGTAGATGAAGTTACTTTACTTCATGTTAGTTATCTTGTTACATTATATTATTTTACATAAATGTTGTATACTATATATATTTGTCATTGAATTAATACTTTAGTGTTTAGAAGAAACGAGGAACAGCATTAATATTGCATTAGCAAATGATTTTAAAACTGCACAAGCTATGAAATCACTTATGAATCTAATTGATGTAGGAAATAAAATGTTACACGATTTTCAGGTAAATATTTAGTAGTATATTAATTTACTGAGATAATAATACTGTTATATTAAACATAGGATAGTACAAAGACTTGCGGTACCTGCATACCTGCTGTAACTGCAGTATTGAATTATGTAACAACAATACTTTCTAAATTTGGAATTTCAAATCGTAGTAAAGAAAACGATTATAAAATAAACAATGTCATAGACTGTTTGATAAAATTTAGACAAACTGTGCGTAATAAAGCTTTAGAACGAGATGTAAAAGATAAAACTTTACTTACAGCGTGCGACGAAGTACGATCAGAACTTACCACTTGTGGTATAATAATAAAGGTATGAACGTTATATGTATTTGATTAATTTAATATTTTTAAGTTATATATTCTATATTCCTTATTACTATATTATACCTATTCTAATTCTGTTATTCTAGGATTACAAAACTGAAACTGTTTGGAGTATCAAAAAATATTAAATAAATAAAAACATTCATACAGTAATTTAATATTTTTAATAAAAAAAAAATTGTATTTACATTTATTTCCATACTGATTTTGGAGTTAAATTAATACAACTTACAATTAGTCAGTCGAATTATTATTGTTAACTTTTAATTTCTTTGAGTTATCATTATTTTCGACATTTTTTCTTTTCATTCCAACTTTCTTTTCTGCCACTGTTTTTTTTAATCCTTTCATCTTTCTCGTTTGTATACTATTAATATTTTGAGCACCAACATGTATACGACCATAAGTTGTTCCAAATTTGTCTATAGATATATTCTTTTTCTTTTTAACCTATAATTAAATATTAAATATATTTAATTAAAAATACATACTAAATCATTATTTCTGTCGTTAACTATTATTTTTAAAATAAAATTACGTATTACCTTAAGCTCCTTTGGTTTTTTACAAGCTTGCTTAAACAAATCTTCAGAAGCAAGTTTTGTACGTCTACAAATTAAATCTGCTCTTGGTCCAATTTCTTCTAATTCAATTCTTGGTATTCTACAATCAGATTTTTTCAGAAGTACCCTAAAACATAATTTTATTAAATAAGTTACTTTTCAAAGAAGTTTGCATATAAATATCCAATGCAATTCAGAAGAAAAGTAATATACCTATAACTGCGTAAAAGTATTTTATTCTCAACTGCAGTGAAACTTAAGACATGTTCCAGACCTTGTAGTCTAATTTTTTCAACTGATTCCCTTTGAAACATATCCACAAGCAAATTTTTTATTCTATTGAACTCGTGATTATTTTCAAAAAGTTCTCCATTGAAAACTAACAAAGGTTTCATTCCTTCTGGAATTTTTGAAATCTTAAAATCTTTCAGTCCTGTATAATTTTCTATGCCAAATTCTGCCATATCTAATAATGTTTGTTCGTACATTCTTCCCATTATTAAATTGTGAGGACGTTTTTTATTATGCAAGGCAATCATAAAAAGTGGTGCATTATATTTTATAGAAAACTTTTCAATACGTGTTATATCTTCAAATGGTAATATATCATTTTTCTTCTGCATTAGTTGTGCATCTGGCTTTTTTAAATCATACTAAAATCAAACATCGATCATATCATTCATATAAAACATTTTGTGTGATAATCATATTATATAATTCAACTTACCAAATCTTTCATAAAATCTACTACAATCTGTGATGTGTTTTTACCTTTAAAACACAAAGTTTGTTTACTATCTTCTATTAGTTTTGGTTCTTTTTTTATAATAGCTCTTTTACCCTTGTGGGTAGTTGGTTTTCTACAATAAAAATCACATTTACATTTCTAAGACAAAAAATACATATATTTATAAAAAAAATTTCATTTTCAATAATGTTTAACGAAAATCGACGAAAGTTTTAATACGCGTAAAAATAAGAATCATAACCAAAATATTTGATTTCGTATAAAGTTAAAGATACCTACACTACTCTTTGTATTACAGTCATAGTGACGATCAATTTCGGAGAATATACTTTCTTTAAATTGTACAAATGTTAAATGACTTTTATTATTTAAAACGCGTCACATTATACGATACACGTGTTTGGCACAGAGAATCATACTACACACACACAAGAGAGTTAAACGTAGTTGTAACATATAACCTAATCATAAAGTTTCTAACCTTCAATAAAATTATTTTTTCCAATTTTTCATGAATTATTTGTTTCTATATAAATATACTACGTAACATATATTGTATGGTAAAAAATACACATATACACATTTTGAAAAATATATCGACCTTGGGTTAAAATATATTTCAATTTCTATACAACATATACATATATAAATTGTTCAACTTCGTTGATCAGTATTTTGGATTGATCTTTTTATTTTCGTTAGCTTTCTGCTGTTCTCTTTCCTTCATTAGTCTCTTATATTCTGCTTGTTTTTCCATTTGTTTTCGTTTCCGTTCAATTCGTAAAAGTTCTTCTTCAGACACTAAAAATTGTTTATATTTCATGTAATGTTAGTTCTTAAATAAATAAATCTTTGATTAATCTACCTGATTTTGAATCTTGTTCTATTTGAACAATATTTTGTTCTTTATGGTGACTCATAACATTTGGTTGTAAGTGATTTTTCACATCACTTGAAGTTTTAAGTGGTAGAAGAAGCTGTTCCTTTTGTGCAACAGGACTCTTTGACTTAGGCTGTACAAATATTTCCTCCTTTATTGTATTTGGGACTTTCTGTTTCAATAGATTGTCTAAAAGATATATAACATGATCAAATATTTCAATATATTCAAATATTTAATTCATAAAGATCTTAAAATTGTATGAACCTGTCTTTTGCTTTTCTTCGTCATTTTTGTAACATAAAAGTGGAGTTGATTGAGCACATGGTTCTAGTGCATTAAATGAAGAATATTGCAAATCTTCCTTTTGATTGTTAGGCATATATGAATTTGGTAACTTTTTTGGTAACATTTGTATCTCATTGTTTACTACTTTACCAAAACATGATAATACTTTTTTAAAGGCATCTGTAAGAGAACCCTGAATAAAATAATAAAAACAATACTTGTGTAATGTATATGAAAATCAAATATTTAAACATTAAACATACAATCCTTGCACAATGTATAGATAAACCTTTCATAGCTTCCTCTGTATAACAATATCCCATATCTTCGTGAAATGTTCCATCCTGTAACTGGATCTTCAAAAATGTCACACATCCACAAACATATTTACCCATAAAAGATTCAATAAAATCTAAAACATGTGCTTGTGTAATAAAGTGTCATCATAAAAATATTAATACAGCAAACAAATATGTAATTAATAAAATCCACAAGAGACACACCTATTGTTTGATTAGTAATGGTATGACTCCATTTTCCTTCACCAAGTATTTGATTTGCTAATAATATTAAATCATTATTAAGAACTAAAGTTTCTTTTAAATTTAATTTTTGTGCATATGTATTTATCATATTGTGTTTTGAACTTGTTGATGGCTAAAATAAAAACAATCTTTCTCACATCTGATTCTGTTAATATGTCATTCTAATTTCATCATTTGTAATGTACTTACAATTTTTATACAAGATGGATAATTAGTTGCACTATCCATGGTAATACATACTACTTGAACGGTTAAACGAGTTTCAAATTTTACGATATATGATGGTTGCAATTATTGTACTTCTCTATTATACGATACTTTCGATACATCAAACATTACTTCATCGAACATTTGGCGGCAATTTTAAAATTTTAATCATTCATTAGAATTAGCGACGAATTATTCATACAATATAAAGTATTTATTAAAGTATAATTCCTATATATATCTTTTATATCATACTTGATGTAATAATTTATAAAAATATCATTTTCAATATTTCATATATTGAATTATTTTATTTTTATATTGTACATCTTTACAAATTACATACTTTTTAGTTGCTTTGGGTATGATAATAATAACGGTAGTGTAATTTATTTTATATATTTATTTATACAATAATCATTATAATAAATTATATATATAATATATATTTATATTATGCGTGTGTAGTGATAATATATATTGCATAGAAATAATGTTTGACACGATTTTGGCGAATATATTGGCTAAATTATGCCTTGTGACTCACACAATTAATTGCAACTGATACTCACCACACTCTTGCTATCTTTTGATTAAAATCACCGTCGAGCCTCTATATTTTAATTTTGGACTTTGCTTTCTTTCACTCGTAGATAAGAATATGTGCTCTATTAAAAAGTAGCAAATTTCTATTTCATTCGATAAATTATTAATATAAAATCTGTTGAAAAACGTATAATTTGCAACAGAATATTTCTACATGTACAAAGATAATTTGAAGAGAATGTCTTTGAATTGCAGTAACATTGTCTTGAGAATTACAGTAACATTGTTAGATGAAAATATTTATTGTATTTATCATTTAAAAATAAAAAATTTTAATATGTAACAAAGATATTGCTACTTCTTAATATACACAACTGTTAGTTCGCTCTAATATTATTATATTTCTTAATAATCTTACCTAGAAGAACGTCTGTCTCACATTTAATTATTTAATACAATAATCATAAAGTATATGTAATAAGTAAAATTCTTAAACCCGAGGCAATAGTTCTATACATATACACTGATCTTTTTTAGTTGGTTGAAATACCTAAACAACAGTTTTACTTTTAACAGACACACAGTCACACTTAGTGTCATTGAGCTGATCGTATTACATCTAATTGGTTTTCAATCTATTTCATTATAATCATAACGTAAAGGTGAAAAGTGTTTTACTATGATATGAGCTACTTACGAACACAGGCAGCTGTTTTATTATGATATCAGCTACTTACAAACACAGGCAGCTGGAAATATTGCTTTTATATCGCATAAATGACATAAAAGGAGAAATGTGTGTTCACGTACAAAAGAACAATTTACACATTTATATATTTAAACGCCATCGTTTGAGCTATTACTGGGATTACAAGTATTGCTATCCTAAATTTATAATATATCAAAGAAGAATTTTCGATTGTTTAGGAAAATGTTTGTGATTACTATAAATATTAGTGAACACGATAACTTTTGAAACACTTTCTTTTGGCACTATAAAATATTGTACGATATATATATTAAAAAAAACCGGTATTATAAATAATGTAATAGATTTGCAACTGATCGTATAAGGTTTCTGGCAATTCAATATCGTTACTAATGATTCATAAAATTATTATTATTATGTACTTCGCATATTCGTTATATACATGAGATTCTAGTAATGCACCAATATATCTAACTAAAAGTTATACGCGACAAAATATATCCTTAAAGAATAAATAGTGAAACAATAACAAGTTAAAAATCTTACATGTAGATAAAAATATTCTCTCTCTATATATATATTTATATAAATTTAAACATAGTTGCATCAAGACCCCACATAGATTGATAAATAGCACTATGTTACAGATTACCGCGTGTAAAATAAAGGGAAACCATTATAAAATAGGATTTTTATTGTATCTTATCAAACTACCCGAAAACTGACGCTTAAACGCTTATTTGGCAATGATTATAGTTCACCCAAATATTTCTCCCTTTATGCCTCGGAGCAAATCTAAATGTTGCACATACATGTAATAGTAGTTGAATGACAAGATGCACAAATTTGTAAAGAAATAGAAACAGTACAAAAAAATAAACATAATCACAGTTGAGTTGGCAGGCAGGTGGGCAAATGCAGGCGTATTATTGGACAGGCTCGCTCGACATGCGCTTCATCGCTCTTTTTTTTTTTTTTTATACATGATTTTTGTGTTACTTGGTCGACATTATATTTCAATAGCCTGCTAAGCCCGTTTCATTGACAGACTCATTCTTAAACGTAATCATTAGTTCCAGGACTCGTTAAAGGTTCCTGAGCCTATTGAAATTAAACAAAAAAATTATACAAAATACATTTATATCGAGATTGAATGAATAAATGAAGAAAAGTATGTAAACAACATACGCAATTCTTGTTTAACGAAATGATACATCACACACAGTAATTACCTCTTCTCCAACTGTAGCAGTAGGCAGTGGAAACCTATTCTTTTCAAGACTAAATTGATCTTCTGTGGTTTTCCTATACACGGGATTATCGAAGTTCATACTCGTTACATTACGATGAAGATAATGCCTATAGCATAATACTGCTACTAATGCAAGGAGTAACAGCCCTAAGGACGCCACGCCTATCACTATACCAGCGACTAAACCAGGATCTGTGGATTCAGATGTCAGATCATCTTTTCCATCTCCATCTGCTGAATGTGTTGGATCTAAAACAAATTGAGATGAAAGACGTAAAAACAGGGAATGAGCTAGAAATAAAACTGACTAATTAAAAAGCTAAGATCATCAAAAGCATTTTATAATCATTTTAAAATCATTTTTAACAATTTATAAAACTAGCATGCGTCTCATGTAACAATACGCACATTGTTGTTAATATAAGACTATAACACATTATAAGCCAAACCCAAATGTTTTTGATCAATTGATTATGAAAATATATGATCGAGCGATGTAGAAGATTCGTGCAGATATACTTACGGGTAGTCGTAGTTACGTTGAAGGGTTCAAGTCTCTTGAATGGTTTGCTAATTTCTTGCGTTGTAGGTGCTACAGTTGTACTTACTGGATATCATCCCATATTCATGCAACATCGATGCAAAATAATTGTAATAAGTAATAAAGTAATAAATGTACGTAAGCATGATAATTGTATAATTTATTACGAAAATGAATTGATCAATGCAACTCGATAACAATATAATAATAAAAAAAAAAAGATTTTTAACATGCTGTACTAAAAGCTTTCGTTTGTACCTAAGTCGTAAGCATTATTCCTATTACAAGATAGCATGCAATACTCTTCAAGTCGTTGAACTGGACTTCATTCTTTCTCGACCTCGATCAATACATGCATATTAAACCAATGTATGTAAATAAATATATGAAAAAGAAAAAAATCGAAATCGTCGGTATCGCTTACCTTTCTCCACACACATTAAACCATCAGGTAACAATCTTAGGCCATCTGGACAAGCACAACTGAGAAGAGGTGATTTCGAATTAATTCTTGGTGCTGGTAAACACAAGTGACTGCAATGGCCATTCACAGCCTGACACTGATTCATTCCGTCTGGCTGTCTGTACGGATGATATACGTGAACGACCATTGGATACTTCAGAGTTCGAAGCGACGTTACAGCTTCAACAGATTTGCCAGTGAATTTATTCGCTTTAAATATCGCTTCCTTATCCCAGTCGGTCCAATACACGTAGTCCTCAAATGTCGTAATACTGAAGGGATGCCTCAATACTTCCGGAGAATACAGAACCGTTCGTATACCTGAACCATCGTAGTTACACGATCCAATTATATTCAGCTTCGCATCTACCCAGTATATTTTCTTGCCGATCAGGTCCAGAGTCAGTCCATTTGGCCACTGTACATCATGATCGACTATTACCTGCAAACAATAAACCCAGCATATTAAAAACCTTATTGTCACATTAACTCTGAAAACATTTAAATTGACTTTTCTATCAAAAAAAAAATTGAAGAAAAAATGAATTTCCAAAACTTTTATTACTGTTACTTTATCTCGTTTTATTACTGACTCTGAATAAAAGATTAGAGATTAGAGGTGAAATGTATACATTTTAAAATCATATATCCACGAAAGCAAAAGATGCTTATAGCCATACGATTTCAATATGTTGGAAGGAAAGTCGGCTGCCTAAAAAGATTCATGAAAGATTATTTCAAGGTTCATTCTTTCTCCAATTTCATAGGAAATCTACCGTTCGATGAGATCCGTCCATGCCCGCTTTTTCTATGCGGGCTTCGTCGCTCCAATCGGTCCAAAACATCCAACCCTCCAGTGGGTTCAAAGCTATCGCTCTAGGTTCTTGCACCCGGTCTCGAATCAATGTTTTCCTCATGTTACCCTCGAAATTGGCCAATTCTATGGTACTCTTCTTGGAATCAGTCCAATAAATATGACTATATATCCAGTCAACGGCAAGTCCATCCGACGTTGTTAAACCATCGTCAATCACAACTGTACGCTCGTTGCCTTCGTCTATTGGCGCTCTAAACAATGAAACGGCAAATATATGAGCAATAAAGGAAAAGAGATCGAAAGATCATGAGCAGATTGCGGATACTGATGCATTTCAATTTAGCATGTCGGCTACCAAGAATGACTTGGCAATCTGATTATAAGAAACGTTCGATCACTCTAGCTCTTACTTATAGATCTTCTTTTCGCTGCTGTCACTCCAGAAGATCATGCCCGTGCGAAAAACGAAATCCAAGGCCGCGGCCATTTTCGTATCTTTCACTATGTTCGTCATCTCTAAACGATCCAGCGCCACTTTTCTTATATCGTGCCTCCTGGTAAAAAGCAGGCTGGCGTGACCTTCTGCCGCCTTGCAGCGAGTATGGTTCCTGGGATCTTTAAGGTAACCCGGGGCGCAGCTGCACTTGAAACCGCCCTTCTCGTTCAAACAGAACTGGGAACAGCTGCCTGGCTCCAAGCATTCGTCTATATCTGAAACGAGAAATACAAATATTCTTTTACAGTCTCTTTCTCTCTACAGACGTTCATTATTTTTATTGTTACAAGAAATTTACAGAAGAAAGAAGGAGTGTAGCATAAGAGCGTACTCATTAGTTCCTTATGGTGTTTTTGTGAGATGTAATAGGAAGAGGGTTGTGAAGAAAAGCGGGAAAAATGTTCACATTCAGGCGAGTGAGGAACCACTCGCACGTATGACGAGAAAGAAAAGAAAAAGTAAAGTGCGAGCTTCTCCCCCCCCCCCCCCAGAAAAGCCCGTCTTATCGTTTGCGTTTGAAGAATCACCTGTCGATCGAGTTATCTTTATCTCGTGAACACATTCTTGTGTCGAATCGTTATAACTACTCGTACGTCACTTATATCGCGAATTAATTTACTTTACAATTAACACCTGCAATGCTTTTCGTACATTTGTGGGAAAGTTTAAAGATGCAGAGAAAGATCGCAGTGTAAACGTGCCATATACAGAAAATAAAAGAAAATGGTGCAAAACACATTACTCGCTTACACACATTGTCAGAGTGTAAAATCTCTGCTTATGAATAAATGAATATTATAACAAGCTACTACGTGCAACAATATCCTTGTGCACACTCTTATATTGTTATTCATGCATTATTACTGAAAACCGTTCGCTCCGTCATTGTCGCGTTTTGCAAACACCGCGGCTGCACCGTCAACATGCATTTTAATGAATTCAAACACGCGAACGAATTAATAATAAACAATGAAAAATGATTAATATTAATAGTCGCAGCGATTTCAACATTAACATCGAACATATATATATACACCATTGGATATACTCGTGTCTTACCGTCGCAGGTTCTATTGTCAATCAGCCTGTATCCTGCGCTGCAATCACACCGGAAGCCGATTGGCAGATCGATGCAAATTTGCGAACATCCGCCGTTGTTCTTCAAACACTCGTTCACGCCACAAAGATCTTCGTTTTCGTCCTCCCAGCCGATGCAATCACGGTTTTTGTTGCACACGCTGGAAAGAGGGATACACGAGCCCTCGCTACATTCGAACTGTGTCGACGGATCGCAAACGGTGGTTTTGCTCGTACAATTCTTCTCGTCGCTGCAGTCCGCGCATTCTGGTTTACCGTTGCAGTATAAATGCCCTGAAAAATATTTATTTACGCAACGTATATATATATATATATAGAGTGGTCGATTGGTGGCTAAAATGAAATGTACCAGTATATACTCTTTAAAAATTAATAATTGAAACTAAATTAATGTTTTCTAAACGTGTTCAACGAATACACTAAATGTTCCAGAATAATTGGAGAAAAGAGACCCTCTTGAAATTCTATTTTGGAAATTAGGGTGACCGGCACGCGTAACTTGATTACGTGATGTCATCGATTATATTCCACCAGGGTACACTGTACCTCTCGTTTATCAAAATCACCGACGAAAATATGTATCAAATGTTTCAGCGCAACATTACGAGGAAAGAGTTTTCCTTTTTTTTTTTTTTTTGTAAACTTTCTACTCCGAATTAGGGTATCTGGTGTACGTTAGTTGCATGTGAAAAGTAGCACGTAGTATCTCTCGTCGAGTGTTACAGAAAAGGAAGCTCGTTAAATTCTCTTGTATAATTATGCTTACCTGATATACAATTACGACGATCCTCGCATTGGAACTGATCCGGCCTGCACGTTACGTTATGACACTGTTTTGGCAACTCGTCGGCCCCGTTCGGGCAATCCTTCTCACCGTCGCACACCCAACTCTTGTGTATGCAGGTGAAATCGTCGTCGCAGTCGAAGTCCTCGTCCTTGTTGCAATGGCTTGGTCGTTCGCCGTTCAAATACTAAAAGAGATTTCATCTCAAGTCTTTCGTCTCTGCTTCCGGCAATGGAACAGGTCGCCTCTCAATTTTCCTACACGATTCTTTCGTATTTCTCTTTCGACGTCGTGACACGTACGTAGGAAATTCAACGCGCGGAGATTGACTGAAGCAAACACGTTAGCTTCGCAAACAGTTCCGCAGCGAACGCGGTATGTTAATTTGGCGAAGATCGACCGATGACGATCGCCAAGCAAAATGATCAGTGCACGTTCGCTTTTGAATTTCGATCTTTCCATATCGATAATGTTCGCGTGCGAATGACGAAACACCCGAAGAGATATATTAGACGAACGAGAAGCTTCGAAAATGAAACACTTACAGAATGGAAGGAACGATACTATTTTAACAGAGAAATTTAAAAGAGAATCGCGAACGAATCGCGGATGAATTTTCCCGTTCAAAATGTCGACGATCGGGAAAATTGTTGCTAATCGAAATAAAATTTATATTGATTTCTTTGCACGGCGAAGATCGAAGTCGCGAATTGATCCTGTTGTTTGTCGAATCATTAAAGAAAATTTATCAAATCGATCGGATTATTTCGTACGGATGGAAGGAAGAGAAAGTTACTATACACGTGTTAGAAAATAAAAGGTTTCTTTTTTTGTTTTTCTTTTTTTTTTTTTTTTTTTTTACCGTGCATCCAATTTCATCGGCTCTGTCCGGACAATCGAAGTCACCGTCGCATCTCCATCGTGACGTTATGCAATAATTCTTTGAACAGGCGAACTCTGACGGGCCACAGGTGACCGGTTTGCAATCTTTCTCGTCGCTTCCGTCGCCGCAGTCATCGTCGCTGTCGCATACCCACGATTTCTGGATGCAGTGCTTGTTTGCGCACGTGAACTCGTCGGATCGACAGGTGTCGTCTGGAGAAGACGCGTTTCACGTATAAGAAACGGAATAAATAGACGGGGTGGAAAACGATTTCAACGATCTACGCGCACGTGACAATCGTTCGCTCTAAGCGAATCGTCCTATATTCTAACATAAACATGGTATAATAATCGAAAGAAGTATATTCTCGGTGTCATTTCTAACTTTCTCCTTTTATCGTTGCAATTATTTCTCTCTGTAATTACCGTCTTTCATCGTTCCCCAATGTGTCAAAATTTCGAGATAACTTGTCGAACTTGACAAAATTTGATAGAGGGTCAAGTTCCGAGAAATTAGTCGGCGAATAAGTTGCAATTCGCAACTTTTTTTAAGATTTTTAAAGAAATTGTCCCCTCGTTTGTTGGAAAAGAAAATTCAGCCTGAGTAACAACCTCGTGCCTCTTTCTTTCGTTTATTACTAATACGATGTTTATTCATATCGCGCGTAAAAGTCTGTAGACCATCTGCGTTTCAAGTAGACATTTCAAGTAGATTTTCGAGAAAAAAACCTCTCCTCTTTAAATGTTCACGGTATCTCTCGTTTCAGAAACTTTTCAGAGGGCTAAGAAAGCAAAGGTCGAAAAATGTATATCAATTTCCGATGTTGAAGTTCAGCAGCATTCTTAAAAAAAAAAAAAATGAAAAATAAAAAAATAGTGCTATTATCATGTAATAATAATAAGATGTTTAATATGAAAATAAAATAATATCAAGCAGGTGGTCCAAGACTTTCACGCGTAAATTTCTTTTCGTTATTTCTACTCTTAACAGATGAGGCAATAGAATATTATACGACATTTAAGCAACAAAAAAAAAGGAAAAGCACGAAAAAAATATGTGCAATACACGTGGAAATATGCAGGCAATCAGTATCTGTCTGAACATCCACGATACAGAACAGAGGAACAAAACAGAGAAGCTAAGGAGAAACACATCGTTGTGTGCGAAACATCGACTTTTCGTGCGTGGCATAAGTTGGCTAAAACGAAACTCGCGGAGTCGTAAAGATCAAGGACCTCTAAGTTTGATTAAATTTAAAATCTATCTTTTTTGTAAAAAAGAAAGAAACTTCGAATCTCCCACGACGCGCAGTAAATTATGCAAGAAGATATTTGCACTTTCGAGATGACGTTGCGGAGGAAATAAATTTCTTAGCATATAGTCGCGTAATTAAACGGCGTAATTAACCGGCCCTTGATCAACGGCAAGCGCATACCGCTACAACGAGGTTGCCTCGCATTAAGTGCATGACATTAACAGCAAGAAACTACTAGCTTGTTCGTACTATGAGCCTACAAATCAGGGGTTGAATCGTTCGTTATCCCCCGTAGAGACGAGTTTTATTCGTCTCGATGGAATAGCACGAACACTCGCGAACGAAAAATCACGTGTGCTGTGTACACGCTATACTCACGTAACACCGATTACTCTCGCTGAAATCAAAAATGTTAAATTTTCTACGGTGACACGTGTGCATATACGATTAAATAAAATCTTGTCCT